GAATTTAACATGAAAACTGTTAAAAGTGACCAAAAAAGGAGGCCAGCACTGTGGCACAGCGGGTTAAGTCATGGACTGCAGCACTGGCATCCAATTTGGGCAAAGGTTTGAGTCCTGGTGGCTCCAATTCTGATTCACCTCCCTTCTGATGGCCTGGGAAAAGCAAAGGAAGATGACCAAAGTGCTTGGGGCTCAGCACCTACATGGGCGACCCAGAAGAAACTCATGGCTTCAGTCTGGCCCAACCCTGCCTGTTGCAGCCATTTGGAGAGTGAAACATCAGATAGAAGGTCTATCTCTCTCTCTTCTCATCCCTCTGTAACTCTGCCTTTCAAATAAATAAATAAATCTTTCAAAGAAAGAGAGAGAGAGAAGCGCATTATGTGATGCTTAAAGAAACAATTCAACAGAAGATGCTACTATAATAAATGCATATGCACCCAATGCCAAGGTCCCTGGCTATTTAAAACAAATGTTGTGTATCTAAATAGAGACATAGACTCCAACTCAATAGTAATGGAGGACTTCAAGACCCTACTTTCATCAATGGACAGATCAACTAGACAGAAAATCAACAAATAATAGCTGAGCTAATCTATACTATAAACCAAACAGACCTAGTGATAACTACAGAATCTTTCATCACACAATTGCAGAATACACATCCTTTTCATTAGCACATGGAACTTTCTCTAGGACAGACAATATGCTAGCCTATAAAGCAAGTCTTAGCAAATTGAAGAAAAAAACTGAAGTCATACCAAGCATCTTTTCTGACTACAATGGAATGAAGCTGAGAGGTAACAACTCAAGAATCCCTAGAACATATGCAAACACACAGAGACTAAACAACATGCTCCTGAATGAACAGTGGGTCATAGAAGAAATCAAAAGAGAAATAAAAAAATTACTAGCAATGAATGATGATTACAATATAACATGTCAAAACTTATGGGACACAGTAAAAGCAGTGAGAGTTACAGCAACTGGTGTCTACATCAAGAAATTGAAAAGGCACCAAATAAATGAGCTATCAATGCATCTCAAGGATCTGGAAAAAGAACAACAAATCAAATCCAAAATTAGTAGAAGGAAATAACTAAATAAAATTAAAGAAGAAATTTTAAAAATTGAAAGCAAAATTAAAAAAAATACAAAAGATCAGTGAAATGAAGAGCTGGTTTTGGAAAAAAAAATAAACAAAATCGATACATCATTCAGCAAACTCACCAATAAAAAAAGGGAGAAGACCCAAATCAATAAAATCAGAGATGAAAAAGGAGACATAACACAGATACAAAAGAAATAAATGTAATCATCAGGAGTTACTACAAACAACTATATGCCAACAAGTTAGAGAAACTAGATGAAACTGATAGATTTCTGGACATATACAATTTACCAAAATTGACTCATGAAGACATAGAAAACCTAAACAAATAACCAAGATGGAGATTGAATCAATAATAAAGACCTTACCAACAAAGAAAAGCCCAAGATGAGATGGCTTCACTGCTGAATTCGACCATACTTTTAAAGCATTGCACCACAGTGCTAGCCAAATTCTACCAGACTTTCAAAGAGCTAATTCCAATTCTTCTCAAGCTATTCAAAGCAATTGAAAGAAACGGAATCCTCCCAAAATCCTTCTATAAGGCCAGCATCACCTTCATTCCAAAAACAGAAAGAGAAACAACAAAGAAAAAGAACTATTTACAAATATCATTGATGAGCATAGATGCAAAAATCCTTAACAAAACTAGCTAGTCAAGTCCAACATCACATCAGATCATTCACCTGGACCAAGTTGAATTTATCCCTGGTATACAGAGATGGTTCCACATATTCAATCAATAAATGTGATTGATCACATCAACAAACTGAAGAATAAAAACTATATGATTGTTTCAATAGATGCACAGAAAGCATTTGATAAAATACAACATCTTTTCATGATAAAAACCTCAAGCAAACTGGGTGTAGAAGGAACAATCAAGGCAATTTGTGACAAACCCACAGCCAGCATCTGCTTGAATGGGGAAAAGTTGGAAGCATTACCACTAAGATCCAGAACCAGACAAAGATGCCTGCTTTCACCATTGTTATTAATATAGTTATGGAAGTTTTAGCCAAGCCAATTAGGCAACAAAAGGAAATCAAAGTGATACAAATTGAGAAGGAGGAAGTCAAACTATCCCTTTTTTGCAGATGACATGATTCTATAATTGGGACCCAAAAAACTATATGTAGACTATCAGAACTCATAAAATAGTTTGGTAAAGTGGTAGGATATAAAATTAATATGCAAAAGTCAATAGCTTCTGTATATACAGACAACGCCTTGGCTGAGAAAGAACTTCCAAGATCAATCTCATTCACAATAGTTACAAAAAAATTAAATACCTTGAAATAAATTTAACCAAGGATGGCAAATATCTATATGAGAAAAACTATAAAATATTACAAAAAGAATTAGAAAACACTAAAAAATGGGAAAATCTCACATGTTCATTGATTGAAAGAATCAGTATCATCAAAATGTTCATACTACCAAAAGCAATTTATAGATTCAATGTGATACTAGTCAAAATACCAATGACATGCTTCTCAGATCTAGAAAAATGATGCTAAAATGCATATGGAAACACAAATGACCCTGAATGTCTAAAACAATCTTAAACAACAAAAACAAAGCCAGAGTCATCATAATACCAGATTTCAAAACATACTACAAGACAGTTATAAACCAAACAGCCTGGTACTGGCGAAAAATAGAAGTGTAGACCAATGGAACAGAATAGAAACCCCAGGAACCAATCCACACATCTACAACCAACTAGTATTTGACAAAGGATCTAAAAACAATCCCTTAAGAAAGAACAGTCTTTTCAACAAATGGTGATCAGAAAAAGGGATTCCACATGCAGAAGCATGAAACAAGACCCTTACCTTATAGCTTATACAAAAATCAACTCAAAATGGATTAAAGATCTAAATCTATGACCTGATGCCATCAAATTATTAAAAGAGAACATTGGGGAAACTATGCAAGACAATGGTATAGGCAAAGACTTCTTGGAAAAGGCCCCAGAAGCACAGGTAATCCAAGAAAAAAATAAACGTGATTACAACAAACTGAGAAGTTTCTGCATTGTAAAGGAAACTCAGGAAAGTGAAGAGGCAATTGACAGAAGGGGAGAAAATATTTGCAGAGTATAAAAATAATAAAGATTCATATCCAGAATCTATAAAGATAAAGAACCTCAACAGCAACATAACTAACAATCTAGTTAAGAAATGGGCAAAGGAGGGTAGCAGTATGGCTCAGCAGGTTAAAGCCCTGGCCTGCAGAACCAGCATCCCATATGGGTGCCAGTTCTAGTCCTGGCTGCTCAACTTTGAATCCAGCTGCCTGTTAATGTTCCTGGAAAAAGATTGGAGGATGGCCCAAGCGCTTTTGCCCCACACTCATGTGGGAGAGCTAGAAGTTCTTGTTTCCTGGTTTTGGCCTGGCTCAGTCCTGCCATTTCGAGGGTGAAGCAGCAGATAGATCTCTTTCTGACTCTCCTTCTCTTTCTTTCTGTAACTCTGCCTTTCACATAAATAAAGAAATCCTTTTTAAAAATAAGAAGAAATGGGAAAAAGTATTGAACAGGCATTTTTCAAAAGATGAAATTCAAATGGCCAACAGGCATGTGAGAAAATGCTCAAGATAACTAGCCTTCAGGGAAATGCAAATAAAACCCACAATGAAGTCTCACCTCATCCTAGTTAGAATGCTTCTCATACAGATATCAACAAACAATAAATTCTGGTGAGGCTATGGGGAAAAAGGTACCCAAACCACATCCATTCCACAGCACTTCATGAAGCTGAAAAGAGATTCGGTGTAGAATTACCCTGGATACTATGGCCATGGGAAAATCACAAAATTACTTTTCAGTTGGATTATAATTATTCTCCTTCCCACCCTTATGTTACAGAGGACATGCACTTTCTCTGAGGGTAGGGTAATACTTTCCTAACAGGGCAGGATGAAAAGAAAAGGCAATGCTGAGGTCTGGGCTTTATTTTTCCTCTCACTTTTGTAAAATTAATCTTAGAATTTGCATTCAGCTAGATGAATTTGGGTCCAATCTTGACACTATCACTTCATGACTATATTTTCTTTGGCAAATCCTTTGATTTCTCTGCACCTATTTCTCTTATATGTAAAACAGAAATAATAATGTTTTGGGCCAGTGTTGTAGCATAGTGATTTAAGCCATTGCCTGCAATGCTGTCATCCCATAAGGGCAGCAGATGAAATCCTGATTGCTCCACTTCCAATATAAATTCCTGCTAATGCACCTGGGAAAGCAGCAGAGGATGGGACAAATGATTGGGCCTCAGTACCCAGGTGGGAGGCAAAGATGAAGTTCCTGGATCCAGGCTTCAGCCTGGCCAATCCCTGACTATTGTGGCTATTTGGAGAGTGAATCAGTGCATGGAAGATCTCTCTCTATTTCACTGCCTCTCTCTCTCTCTCTCTTTTTTTTATTGGTAACTGATTTTCTTTTTTTTTTTTTTATTTAATGAGCATAAATTTCCGAAGTACAGCTTATGGATTACAATAGCTTCCTCCCCCCTATAACTTCCCTCCCACCCACAATGCTCCCCTCTGCCTCTCCCTCTCCCCTTCCCCTTCACATCAAGATTAATTTTCAATTATCTTTATATACAGAAGATCAATTTACCGTATATTAAGTAAAGACTTCCACATTTTGCTCCCACACAGAAACACAAAGTGTAAAATACTATTTGAGTACTAGTTATAGCATTAATTAAACACCTAAGAGTAATTGTGTATTAATTACAGAGTTCAACCAATAGTTTTAAGTAGAATATAAAATGCAACTTTTGTATTGTGGCTTCCCCCCAAACCTCCCTCCCTCCCATGGCCCTACCCTCAACCACTCCCTCTCCCATCCCGCCCTTCATCACATTTCATTTTCATTTACCTTCATATACTGAAGAACAACTTAGTAAATACTAAGCAGGGATTTCAACAGGCTGCACTCACAACCGAACCAGGTATAGGGTATTGTTCAACTAGTAGTGTTGTTTTTGAGTTTCATAGTTAAACACATTAAGGACAGAGATCCTACGTGGGGAGAATGAACCCAGTGACTCCCGTTGTTGATTTAACAATTGGCACTCTTATTTATGATGTCAGCAATCACCCGAGAAACTTGCTATGAGCTGTCTAGGCTATGGAAGCCCCTTGAGTTCACCAACTCTGAATTTGTTTAGTCAAGGCCATATCACAGTGGAGTTTCCTTCCTCCCTTCAGAGAAAGGCGCCTCTCTCCTTGATGGGCTGATCCTTCTGCTGGGGTCTTTTTTACCAGGATCTTTCATTTAGATTGATTTTTGCCACTGTGTCATGGCTTTCCATGGCTGTGAGACTCTCATGGTCCTTTTAGCCAGATCCGAATGTCCCAAGGGTTGATTCTGAGGCAGGAGTGCTGCTTTGGGCACTTGCCATTCTATGAGTCTGCTGTGTGTCCTGCTTCCCCCGCAAGATCATTCTCTCTCTTTTGATTGTATCTTTCATTATTTGCTTACACTGGTCTTATTTGTGTAATCTCTTCGACACTTACCCTATCTTTTTGATCAGTTGTGTATTTATACTTATCACTTTACCAAGTGTGCTGGCATTGGTACCTGCCTCCTTGGTAAGGTTGAGTTGAAATCCCCTGGCACATTTCTAGTTCCACTATTGGAGGTAGGCCTGAGTGAGTATGTGCCATCCTATATATCTCCTCCCTCTCTTATTCCCACTCCTATGTTTCACAGAGATCAATTTTCTGTTAATTTTTAAACGCTTAAGAATGGTTGTGCATTGATTGCAGAATTCAACTAGTGGTCTTGTGTAGAGCAAACCAAGCAACAAAACAACAACAACAACAAAAATATTAAAGGAACAAAATAGTAAGTTGTTCCTCAACAGTCTAGACAAGGGCTGCTCATGTCATTCTCTCTCATAGTGTCCATTTCACTTCAATGGGTATCATTTTAGGTGCTCATTTAGCTGCCATCGATCAGGGAGAACATGTGATATTTGTCCCTTTTGGACTAGCTTATTTCACTCAGCATGATATTTTCCAGCTTCCTCCATTTTGTTGTAAATGCCCGGATTTCATTGATTTTTTACTGCTGTATAGTGTTCCATAGAGTACATATCCCATAGTTTCTTTATTCAGTCATCTGTTGATGGACATTTAGGTTGCTTCCATGTCTTAGCTATTGTGAATTGAGCTGCAACAAATATTGAGGTGCAAATGGCTTTTTTCTCCCCTTTAATTCCATTTGGGTATATTCCAAGGAGTGGGATGACTGGGTCCTGTGGTAGTGCTATATTCAGGTTTCTGAGGATTCTCCAGACTGTCTTCCATAGTGGCTTTACCAGTTTGCATTCCCACCAACAGTGGGTTAGTGTCCCTTTTTCTCCACATCCTCGCCAGCATCTGTTGTTGGTTGATTTCTGTATGTAAGCCAATCTAACCCGAGTGAGGTGGAATCTCATTGTGGTTTTGATCTGCATTTCCCTGATGGCTAGGGATCCTGAGCATTTTTTCATGTGTCTGTTAGCCATTTGGATTTCCTCTTTTGAAAAATGTCTATTGAGGTCCTTGGCCCATCTCTTGAGTGGGTTGTTTGTTTTGATTCTGTGATGTTTTTTGATCATTGTGTAGATCCTAGTTGTTAATCCTTTATCTGTTGTGTGGTTTGCAAATAACATCTCCCATTCTGTTGGTTGGCTCTTCGCTTTCCTGTTTCCCTTGCTTTTAAGAAACTCTTCAATTTGAGGTAATCCCATTTGTTTATTTTATCTTTGATTACCCGTGCCTGTGGAGTCTTCTCCAGGAATTCTTTGCCTATTCCGATATCCTGAAGGGTTTCCCCTATGCTCTCAATTAGTTTCATGGTGTCGTGGCACATCTCTAGTTCTTTGATCCATGTTGAGTGGATTTTTGTATAAGGTGTAAGATAGGGGTCTTGCTTCATACTGCGACATGTGGACATCCAGTTTTCCTAGCACCATTTGTTGAAGAGGCTGTCCTTGTTCCAGGGGTTGGTTTTAGGTCCTTTGTCGAATATGAGTTGGTTATAGATGTTTGGATTGACCTCTGGTGTTTCTATTCTGTTCCATTGGTCAATCCATCTGTTTTTGTACCAGTACCAGGCTGTTTTGATTATAACTGCTCTGTAGTATGCCTTGAAGTCTGGAATTGTGATGCCTCCGGCCTTGTTTTTATTGTAGAGGATTGCTTTAGCTATTCTGGGTCTCTTGTTTCTCCATATGAATTTCAGCATCGTTTTTTGTAGGTCTTTGAAGAATGACTTTGGTATTTTGATTGGTATTGCATTGAACTTGTAAATTGCTTTTGGGAGAATGGACATTTTGATGATATTGATTCTTCTAATCCATGAGCATGGCAGGTTTTTCCATTTTTTTTGTGTCGTCTCCTATTTCTTTCTTTAAGGTTTTGTAATTTTCATCATAGAGGTCTTTGACCTCCTTGGTTAAATTTATTCCAAGGTACTTTATTGTTTTTGTGGCTATCGTGAATGGGACTGATAGTAGTTCTTCCTCGGCCCTGGCATTGGCTGTGTATACAAAGGCTGTTGATTTCTGAGCGTTGACTTTGTATCCTGCTACTTTACCAAACTCTTCTATGAGTTCCAGTAGTCTCTTATAGGATTTTATCGGGTCTCCTATATATAGTATCATGTCATCTGCAAATAGGGATAGTTTAACTTCCTCCTTTCCCATTTGTATCCCTTTCATTCCTTTTTCTTTCCTGATGGCTCTGGCTAACACTTCTAGGACTATATTGAATAGCAATGGTGAGAGTGGGCATACCTGTCTAGTGCCAGTTTTCAATGGAAATGCCTCCAACTTTTCCCCATTCAATATGATGCTGGCCTTTGGTTTATCATAGACTGCCTTAATTGTGTTGAGGAATGTTCCTTCTAACTCCAATTTGCTAAGGGTTTTTTTTTTTTTTTCCTTAGGGTTTTAATCATGAAAGGGTGTTGTATTTTGTCAAATGCTTTCTCTGCATCTATTGAGATAACCATATGATTTTTGTTTCTCAATTTATTAATGTGATGTATTACATTGATTGACTTTCGAATATTGAACCATTCCTGCATACCAGGGATAAATCCCACTTGGTCCCAGTGAATGATCTTTCTGATGTGTAGTTGGATTCGGTTTTCCAGGATTTTGTTGAGTATTTTTGCATCTATGTTCATCAGGGAGATAGGTCTGTAGTTTTCTTTCTCTGTTGTGTCTTTCTGGGCTTAGGAATTAAGGTGATATTGACTTCATAAAAAGAATTTGGAAGGATTCCCTCTCTTTCAATCATTTTGAATAACTTGAGAAGAACAGGGGTTAGTTGTTCTCTAAATGTCTGGTAAAATTCGGCGGTGAAGCCATCCAGTCTTGGGCTCTTCTTTTTCGGTAGTGCGTTTATTACTGATTCAATTTCTTCCATGGTTATGGGTCTGTTTAGATTTTCTATATCTTCACGGCTCAATTTAGGAAGGTTGTATTTGTCCAGGAATCTATCCATTTCTTCCAGGTTCCCCAATTTGTTAGCATACATCTCTTTGTAGTAGTTTCTGATGATTATTTTTATTTCTGTTGTGTCTCTTGTTACATTTCCATTACTATCTTTGATTTTACAGATTTGGGTCTTCTCTCTCCATTTTTTGGTTAGTGGGGCCAATGGTGTGTCGATTTTGTTTATTTTTTCAAAGAGCCAGCCCCTGGTTTTGTTGATCTTTTGTATTTTTTGTTTGTTTCAATTCTGTTTATTTCTTCTCTAATCCTTAGTATTTCTTTCCTCCTTTTGGATTTGGGCTTGATTTGCTGCTGTTTTTCTAAATCTTTGAGGTGCATGGAGAGTTCATTTGTTTGGTTCCTTTCCAGCTTCTTGATGTAGGCACTAATTGCTATAAACTTTCCTCTTAGCACTGCTTTTGCTATGTCCCACAGGTTTTGATAGGTTATGTTATCATTTTCATTTGTTTCTAGAAATCTTTTGATTTCTCTTTTAATTTATTCGATGACCCACTGCTCATTTAGGATCATGTTGTCCATTCTCCATATATTTGCATATGGTATAGAGATTCTTGGGTTGTTGATTTCGAGTTTCACTGCGCTATGGTCTGAGAAGCTGCATGGTATAGTTTCAATTTTTTTGAATTTGTTGAGGCTCCCTTTATGGCCTATCATATCATGAATCCTAGAGAATGTTCCATGTACTGGGGAGAAATCCGTGAACTCTGTGTCTGTGGGGTGGAAGGTTCTGAAGATATCTATTAGGTCTGTTTGGTCTATGGCGTCAATTAGCTCAGTTGTTTCCTTGTTGAATTTCTGTCTGGTTGATTTGTCCATTGGTGAGAGTGGGGTGTTGAAGTCCCCTGTTACTATTGTATTTGAGTCTATATCTCCCTTTGAATCCTTTAGTAATTCTTTCAGGTAGCCAGGCGCCCTGTAATTAGGTGTGCATACATTTATAATAGTAATGTCTTCCTGTTGGATAGATCCTTTAATCATTATATAGTGCCCTTCTCTGTCTCTTTTAATAGTTTTTATGTTAAAGTCTATTTTGTCTGATATTAGGATGGCCACACCAGCTCTTTTTTTATTTCTGTTAGCTTGGAGTATCTTTTTCCATCCTTTCATTTTCAGTCTGCTTGCATCTTTGCTGATAAGGTGTGTCTCCTGAAGGCAGCATAGAGATGGATTCTCTTTCTTTATCCAATCAGCTAGTCTATGTCTCTTTGTAGTGGAATTAAGACCATTAACATTCAATGTGATTACTGTTAAGTACTGTTTTTTCCCCTTCATGTTTCCTGAAACGAGCTGTTTATGTATTTTGATAAACTTTGTTTGTGGGTTACTCTACATTCGCTTTATTTGTAGTGAAGTTCTTGTTTTTGTATTTCTGTGTGCAGCACATCTTTGAGCAAGTGTTGTAGGGTTGGACGCGTGGATACAAATTCTTTCAGTTTCTGTTTGTCATGGAAAATCTTTATTTCCCCTTCATTCATAAATGATAGCTTTGCAGGGCATAGTATTCTAGGTTGGCATTGTTTGTCTTTTAAAACTTGAAATATATCATGCCATTGTCTCCTTGCCTGTAGTGTTTGCAATGAGAAGTCTGGGGTGAGTCTGATTGACTTACCCCTGAATGTGATTTGTCGCTTTCCTCTGGCACATTTTAG